TGATATGAGGATGACTTAATGACAACACTTTACTATATTATTTACAACTTGTAGCATTGAAAGATTGTGGTTGACTCAAGACTTATATCATCAAATTCTACCATCTACCTCCAAAGAAACAAGTTTAATTACTGGCATTGCACTCTTATCAATTCAGTTGTTTCTATAGGGGCATTTCGTGTTATAGAGACCAAACAATTTTGATTAATGTCAATTTTGACAATTAACATGAAAAGATTAGAGACGTTTATGAGATGAACTAGATCAAGCTGAACTTAATTGCTAGCTTTAAATGCCAAGTCCTGACCCAATAACGACTCGCCTTAGTCCGTCTATTTAAATCAGCCGTTATGTAAGTCTATAACCATTTAAACTCTTTTATAATTTAATAGAATAAAGATTGTAATTTTTATATAACTAAATTTAAATCGAAAATTACTCAATGGCCCCTCTCTTTGTCCCTCCTAACGTGGCAATGCTCTAAGGCTGTTTGCACCTCTATTTCATTTTTCCTTGATTCTATATAAAAGAGTGATTACATTAAGATATTTGCTTAATTAATAAGACTTATAAAGTAGTAGGAAAGGTTTATTATTTACTTTATATTTATATTACTAAACCATAAGAGTTTCAAAAGAAAAAGGCTGAGAGATGTAACCTGGTGTGGTGTGCTTCGTGAATGACAGATAGCTTGGGTTTATGGTTAACTAAAAAGAACAATAAAGGACATGGGTGAGTGAAAGAAGGGATGCTGAATGTCAATGGTATTTTGAAGCTGATTGGCCACTTTGGAAAATTGGATAATTATGAGACCTTGACAATGAATAGAAGTCTGCAACATCTTTAACATGAAAAATGAGAATACAAAAAAAAAAAAAAAAATTGCTCATCAACATTATAGAAAGAGAAGATGGCTTTTTAACTTTACTTAATTTCTTATTTGTTCATATAAGTCACATGATTATTGATAATTTTGCACTTTAATTCTTTGTTTTACCGCTTTCTCTAAATAAATAAAAATTTAGCATATTTTAGAAAAAAAAAAGTGAAATTGTAGACACGTCAATCCTCACTCTCCTTTACTCTCATGCATTCAGTCAAGGTCCATCTTTGCTGAAGAACCCTTTCCAATGTGAAATGTGAAATCTTCTTTTCTTTCCAATTTGAAAATGTAGGAAAAATATAATGACCGTTAATTGCATTTCCATACCAATATCACACATGATCAAGATACAGTCCAGTGACTTAACCTATCGAATTAACCATAAAATGGTTAAAGACCCAGATAAGGGGCATCCCAATCTTTCTAACCCTAACAGTACACTATAATTGTGACCACATATGTCTTATTGACAACTTGTCGCCTAAAAAGATCGGGATTGACTTTGATATATATGATCAAATTCTTAGCTTCTACCCTAAAAAGCAAGTTTGAGCTGCACGCTTGTCAATTCTATTGTTTTCAATTGGCCATTTTCTTTCTTTTTTTTTTTTTTAAGCCAAAATTTTATTGATGAAATATGCAAAAACATTCACAATATTAAGAGATCACTGTTGAGATGAGCTTTTAGAGCAAGAAGATCCTGTTGGTCTGTGTTGATGATTTAGGTGGTGGTTGATTTCATTGACAAGAAAACCACAAAATTAGGAAACAGCACTACCCCCATAAGAGCCAGAATGAATTGAGAGTTTCCCTTAAGGAATAAAGAGAAACTTAATTGTAAGGCAATCAATTGATCAGAGTTCTATTGTTTGTACTTCAAAATCAACGATCTAGCTAAGGAATTTTTAACTAATTTATTTGCCTTCTCTTTTTCTTTGTCTGCTTAATTCTCATTTCAGATTCTACACTTTTTATTTTTAAGTTATCAGAAATTTAATCGTGACGATGAAATTTATAAATTTAATATTTTATCAATAAACTACAAGTTCATTGGTAATTTACCACTTTAATTCTTTGACTTGTGATGGGTTTACCTTCTTTCTTAAACCAAAGAAAATTTAGCATATTTGAGAGAGAGAAAAAAAGCAAATAAGAAATTTCAAACAACCCAGTCCTCACTCTCCTTTACTTTCATGCATTGATAGAAGAATACTTCTAATGAGTTGTGCACGAAAGTGGGCTTTGTGACCCTTCCAATTGATTGTCATTAAGGTTAATATATACCTTTTACGCTACTGCTAGCATTTCTCGAAACGTGCTTTCCAATTCTTGTCTAGTCATTATTACTCCATTGTGAGCTTCCCAATATCTTTCTTTCTCTAATATGGGATTCCCTACTTCCCAATTGGAACATGTAGCAAAAATATCATCACTTTTTAATTGCTTTTCCATATCAATTTGACAAGTGATCATAATAGAGTTCAATGACCCAAAATATGGAATTAACCGTAAAATGGGAAAAGACCTTAGAAAAGTGGCATTCTAATTTGTCACCTGACATGGCCAAAAATGAAAACCTTGCAACTAAGGCTCCAACCATATTTTAATCTTTTTCACGTTATAACATCTCAATAAAATCAAAATAAATGCTTCATTTTGGATCACATATTTATAGATAGAGAATAAAAAAATTGATAATGGTTTCTCACTATTATGAGGAACTCTGTTTTTGGTTTCTTGCAGAGATGAGAATGACAAACTCCTTTCCAAAAGAAATTAAATCTTTTAAGTTTACAACAACGATTTCCAACAATTACCAATTTCAACAAGGAAAAAATTTTTTTGCTTTAAACAATTAGCAAAAACTTTAAATCAACCGAAACAAAGAAAGACCAAATAAAACATAGAACTTTATAGGAATTGAGCAATTCATTTAATGTTCATGAACAAACATTGGAACAAAAGCCCACAAACACAGTTAACTTATTAAGGAAAGCACTCATATATAAAAGAATTGAGCTGAAATTATGGATATTCAATGCTCAAAGGAAATCAAGAAAGATAAACCCATAAGCACAAAGGAGTCAAATAGAAATGCCAGCTACATGAACGTTCTCCTCATTAGGCCCGCCTATTCGACTCATGTAAAAACTTGATTTTGATCTTCTTCAACTTGGCAACAACTTCTTTCATATCAATCCTCTCCTCTGGAACTTCTTCTGTACATTCCAATGCTAATTGCAAAATAGATAAAGCACAATCTCTTGTCGCAGAGTATTGTCTTCCTTCATTATTTAACAAATTGGTATCCACAACCTCTATCAAAGCTGATGGTAATGACGTTTTAACCCAATATTTTATGCTCATTTCTCCAGCAAAAATTTCATCTGTGGGTTTCTTTCTTGTGAAGGTCTCCATTAACAGAATACCAAAGCTGTACACATCACCTTTTGTTGAAACAATTCCTTGTGATCCATATTCTACATATAAATTGTCAAATCATCATCAAAGCATTCAATGATGTTACATTAGTCATCATAATAGGATAAAAAGAGTCTGAAATTTTGTATTACCTTGTGCCATATACCCAATCGTTGCTAGTGTCATGGTGTGTATTGTTGAATCGTGTTCACCTAATAGCTTTGCAATGCCAAAATCACCCAAATGTGCTACCATATCTTCATCAAGAAGAATGTTGTTGGGTTTTAAATCGCAATGGATCACAGGTGTTGTATAACCATGATGAAGGTATTCTAATGCAGATGCCACATCGATCATTATGTTCGACCTATTCAAGATATCCAAAAAATGGTTATGAGAGTACAACCACTTCTCTAGACTTCCACTAGGCATGAACTCAAGAACCAAGGCTTTGAAATCAATGTTCGAACAGCTACTGATGATTTTGACTAAATTCGATGGCGAATGTTACGTAAGACCTCGCACTCAACGTCAAAACTCTTAAACGCTCCTTCCAACTCCAAATTGAAAACCTTTACAGCAATGCTTAACCCATCTGAAAGAATACCTTGGTATACTGATCCAAAACTTCCCACACCAAGTAATTTGCTTTCAGAAAATCCATATGTAGCCTGTTGAAGCTCTTGGTATGAGACTCTTCTCCATTCTACTAATGCTGGGAAATTTTCTTGACCAGTTGGCAGATTTGCATTCCTTTTTCCTCGTAGTAAAAAAATTAGAATCAGAGCTAGTACTATTATTGTTGAACCAATTGGCAATAAAATGTATTTTACAAGATGAATAGCTTTCCTTGAATGCCTTCCAAAAGAATTAGCTTTGCATGGTGGGAGTGGGAGTCGCAGTTGAGGTGCGGCACATAGTGCTTTATTGCCCATGAAGGATTGAATAGAGTAGTTGCCAAAGGATCCTTTGTTAGGAATTTCTCCTTCTAGTTTATTGAATGAGACATTAAAATGTTCAAGATACAAGAGTTTCTCTAAAGACTTGGGGATGATTCCTGAGAAATTGTTCCTTGACAAATCCAAGACTTGTAAACTTATTAGACCCTCGAATGACTCTGGTATAGGTCCTTGCAATCTGTTATCAGATAATGAGAGATAGGTCAAGTCCCTAAGATCACCAATGCTTATTGATATTTCACCTGAATTGATTTTTGGAAAAATAAATGCTAGTGATAACCTTCCACTTTCCAATGTCAACTGGGAGGCCCCCGCTTAAACAATTGGAAGACAAGTTTAGCTGTAAGATATCTATAAGCCTTGTCAAGGTTGAGGGTATTGAGTTGGCAAACTTGTTGGAGTCCAAAAATAGATATCTGAGAGAAACAAGATCACCTAAACATGCTGGTATTGGTCCAACCAATTTTTTACCGGTTAAATGCAGGTAACTCAAACTCTTTAAATTGCATAACTCAGTTGGGAAGAATCTTTCTAACTTGTTGCCTTGAAGAGATAAACTTTGCAAATTTTTTAATCTTCCGATTGTGGTGGGAAGAGATCCAGTCAATTTATTGCTTTCTAGGTCCAACACAATCAAGTTGCGCATGTTGCCAATTTCTCCTGGAATACTACCTTTAATGTTGCAACCATAAGCTAGAAATTGTTCAACAGAGAGATTTCCTATAGAAGCCGGAAGTTTACCACTGATCATTGGATTGATAGCAAACTCTAATACTCTTTAAGTGTTTGCAATTTGCCAATGAAAATAAAAAGCTCAACCCCGAGGACGAAGGTGTGCTAGCCAAATTATTCTGACCCAGCACGAGATATTGTAGATCTCGTAGATTGCCAAGGTCAATGGGAATATATCCAGAAAATGAGTTGCCTCCAAAGCTAAGTGTAGTAAGCCGAGAAGCGTTGGAAATGGAGGCAGGCATCGATCCACTTAACTCATTTCCTTCAAGTTCAAGGATTTCAAGCTTCGGAAGCCAAAGGCCTATGGTTAACGGAAGATAGCCTGAGAGCTGGTTTAGAGCTAGTACAATGACATTCATGGCTGAGCTATTAAAGATATGAGGAGGGATGTTTCCATGGATGCTATTAGATCCCAAATACAACCCTTCCAATTTCAGTAAGTTGCCAAACTGAAGTGGTATATGACCTGTCACAAAAATCAAAGGTTAGTTTCTTTGTCCTATATTGATCCACATAATAAATGACAAAAACAAGTGGAAATGTTATTTGCACGTATCTCTTGGTATTGTTAATTTTATATAAATTCTTAATAATTAGTGTTTGTAACACAATTAATCAAATACCTTAATTTTAAAATGATTTTGAAATCTCATATACTACCCGAAGATGAAAAGATTAGACTTTATTAAATTAAAAAATAAATAAAATAAAATAAAAGATTTTTCCTAATTCAAAAGCCATGGATATCTCTATGCACCATTTAAATCTATTTCTTGTTTACAGTCGCATTCAACAATTCTTATTTCTCATTCATTTCATCAATCTCTCAATTCAATGAAAAATAAAGAAGTTATGTAACTACAACCACAAAAAGAGAGTCTAATTATAATAATATTAATATTCGCTAATAATAATATTAATATTCAAATATTAAAAAAGATGCAGTTATAACACAAATGGAAATAATGCGATATATAACCGGTCAAGTTATTGTAGGAAAAATCGAAAAGTTTCAGAAATGTTAGGTTGCCAATGACAGAAGGAATAGCCCCTATTATGTGACAATTTTGAAGACTCAACTTCTCCAAACTCCGAAGATTACCAATCTGTGATGGAATTTCACCTGTATTTATAATGAAATTTTATTTCATTTTAAAATTATTGCAAATTTCATTTTATAATACATGAATAAGTCTTATTTCTTTGTTAAGCATGAAAGAATTAAACAATGTTTAGGTAATACAAAGCATTAATGCTCACACAAATAATTTATTTTTCGTGCTTAAAATGAATAAAATATATTAAAATGAATAAAAAAATATTTTAATAGTGCATACAAGGAGTAATAATTAATTGGTGAATGATTTGTCAATGAAAATTACATGCATGATTATCAAAGTAAAAGTTTGAAATCAAATGATAAAATCTAAAAGTAAAAAAGATGTGAGACGAATTTAAATAAAAAGAAACAAGGAAAGTATAAAAAGAATGTGACACTAATCACAACAAATTAAAATAAAAATAAAAATAAAAAAAGAAAGAAGCTCAAAAGCCAGAACACTATTTGCTTGCAATAAAAAGGACGTGAAGCACAACAGTAAAGTAACTAGAATTTTTCAATAAAATTTTCATTGTTTTTATTTAGCAATAAATTAATAAGGTATGGTGTTAACTTAAGTGGTTTCCTCATGTATGTTCTACCAAAATTGGTAGTGAAAAATCAGTCTGAACAAACATAAAATCATATACTTTACATAAAAAGAAGATGTCAAAGAAATTAAAGTTAAATTAAGGATAAAACACCTAAATTAAAAAGTGATAAATAAAATGAAATTAAATAAACTTTCGAGATTTGCCAAAAAGTAACATTGTCATTGTTCAAAAAGAAATAAACTCAACAATAATTTTTCTTTTACCTTTGAGGTCGTTGATGCCAAGGTACAAATTCTTAAGCTTAGTTAAATTTCCGATTTCTCCAGGTACAATCCCCTCTAAATGGTTAGAAGATAAGGACAATTCTTCTAACTCTTCGCACTTGAATAAACCTTTCGGAATTATACCAGAAAGTTGATTCCAACTCAAATAAAGCCCTTTTAGTTTGGGTAGATAATCAAACATATTTGGTTGGATAGGACCAGTGAGATTGTTAAATGTTAAATCAATTACTTCTAAAGAAGAAATGTTGAGTTGGATGGAGGAAGGTATGGAACCTGAAAACTGATTGTCATTCATATATAAACATCGCAGGCTAGAAAGATTTCCGATTGCCACAGAAATCTGCCCTTGTAAATTGTTACGAGACAAGCCCAAGAGCTCTAATTTTGACAAAGAACTCAAAGAAGATGGGATAACTCCCATGAAGTTGTTACCACTCAAAGACAAGTTCTGAAGTTCTATAAAGGAACCAAACCAGGAAGGGATTTCCCCGTTGAAATTGTTGTTTTCCAAATTTAAAAATTTCAGCCGATGCAAATTAGCCATATTGATAGGCAATGAGCCATGAAAATTGTTGTTTCCAATGTGAAGCCTAGCAAGGAATGACAGATTTCCCAGGTGTGGTGGTAAGGTACCAGAGAGATTCATACCAACAAGATTCAGAGCCGTGACCCTTTTGTGCCGAGAACCGCAAGTGACACCAATCCAATTGCAAACAGAAGTAACAGTTGACCAATTGGTTGCCATGAGGTTTTGAGGATCACTAATGGCATGGGCTTTTAGTGCAAGAAGAGCCAGTTGATCAGTGTTGATATTGGTTGTTGTTTTTGTAGAGAATGTAACCACAAAACTAGACAACAGAACCACCACCATAAGAATCGGAATGAGGAGAGTGTTTCCCGTACTAAAAATTTTAAATTGGAAGTTGTGAGAGAAAAATTTTTGAATTATAGATGAAAAAGATAATGTTTCTCCTTCATACTTATAATATTTCCACGTCAGCTGTAAGTCTTTCCAAGATCTTTAATGTATACAATTCCGATGTCTTGTCATTATTACTCTTCATTGTGAGCTCTCCATTACCTTTCTTTTCTAATATGGGATTCCCACTTTCCAATTTGAACATATTATCATCATTTTCAATTGTCTTTCCACATCATCACATTTTCAATAAAATCAAAATAAATGCTTCATTTGGGATCAATCTTTCAAACCTTGCCTTCTTTAATTTCACCTTATCTTAATAGAAACTTTAAATATTTACATTGTATTGCTCGATGTAGACACCAAATTTGTCCAAATTTTAATTAATAATTCTCGGACTATCGGGCTAATACCCGATTTCAATTCAATTGGGCTTCAAGCGCGATTTGAATTTAATTGGGCTTCAAGCCCAATTTCAATTCTACTGACCCTAAAGTCTGATTTCGATTGGGCCTAAAGCCCATTTTGTTCTTTAAGCCCAGCCTATCTTTTTATTTTCTTTGTTTTATTAAATTAAAAATTCAAAATACCAAAAAAATACAAAAATACAAAATACAAAAAAAAAGGGGGGGAGGGATGGTAGTGGTGCCCTGCTCGGCACCACTGGCCACCATACCCTACCCTCTGATCACCCATCCCATGGTCACCCATACCCTGCAAACCTTATCCACCCCATCTATACTCCTAACTGTCGAATAAGACAAAAGAAACAAAAAAGACAAGGAGCTTGTGCTTGCACCCCATGCCGTGCCCTATGCCACTCACTCAGGCACGACCAGAGCTTTATAAATAGAGCTCCTGGCCGAACCCAAAAAGGGAGAGGAGGAAGAAATCCTACAAAAAAAAGTAAAAAAAAAAAAGAGAGTTTCCATAATAAAAAATTCTTCCTGCAAAAAAAAAATTCAAACAAAAAACAGTCATCGCCATTTGATGAGGAACCTAGCGCCAAGCAACACTTGTAGAAACAAAAAAAAATAGTTAGTTTTAGTTTTTAAAAAAAAGGAGACTGAAACTTTAAACACTGATCTAAGTTGATCAGGGTTGTTTTTGGTGAAAAGAAGTTTGGATCCGACAAGATGGGGTTGAGGGGAACGTTTTTGTGTTATAGGGTATTTTCTGGCTATCGATCGACGACCATCGACGATGGCAGGAGCAGCAGCGACGGCTGCCGGACATCGATCGGCCAACCCCCTCTACGCTTGGGTCGAGAGGGAAAATAAGAGGTTTTTTTTCTAAGGGAGGAAATGACAAAAAAAAATTTTTTTTTAGGCCTTTTATAGAAACTGCCAAAGCCAAAATGATGTCGTTTCAATAAAACCTCAAAATGACATCGTTTTAAGCCCCTGAGGATCGACACGTTAACCCATGACCCAACCAGGGATCCGCGCACCTGACCTGCTGACCCGCGTCTCTTTCAGCCTTTGATCGGTCCAGTCGAACCAACCCAAACCGAACCGAAACCAAACCGTTGAACCCAATTCGAACCGGCCCATACCGCTAACACGAGTCGGACCGACCCCAAACCATTGAAGGCGACTAGACCAACAAACCGTTGACCGGTCCGATTCAGGTAAAAAAAAATTTTTTTTTAAATATTATTTTCATTATTTTAAAATTTGTTATTAATATTTATACATATAAAAATGTTTAAATTTCCTGGAATAAATTTTTGTTGTTTTATAATATTAACAAATAAAAATAAATAATGAAATATATAGTAAAAATTTATGATAATTTTAAAATAAGAAAAAAGAAATTTTTATCTGACGATGAGATTCAAAGGTACTCCGAATAGTGATACCTACAAAATCTCTATATGAGAAAATTTTTTTGAATACTGCCAGTGTATTGGAGTATTTATTAAAAATTTTCTTTTGTTATAAAATAATAAATAAAAACTAATTAATAAATAAAAAATAGGAAAGAAAAAATGAGAAAAAAGGAAATTTTATCCGATAATGAGATTTTAAAAGTATTCCAAGTAGAGATTGCTGCTTTAAAAATTCCTAGGTGAGAAGATTTTTTTAAATATTACCAATGTATTAAAATATTTATAAAAAATCTTTAATATAATAAAAATTCATCTTTCTTTTTGTTTTATTAAAGTGAAAATAATAATAAATATTAATAAAACAATTAATAAAATTTCTAAAAAAGAGAATGAAATGTGTGCATCAACATGGTAACATTCTGCATCGCATGCATAACATAAATTTTTACAAAATGTAAATTTGAGCCACCAAGGATGGGATTATAAGGTATTTCAAGAAGCGATGCTTAAAAAATCTTTAGGTGAGAAAAAGTTCTTCTAATGTTACCAACGTATTGGAACATTTTAAGAATTATTTCAATACAAAGGTTCTAATTTTCCTCGAATAAAAAATGAAACAATAAACAATAAATAATAAAAATATTTCTAATAAATAAAAAAATCAAGAAAATTATTTTTCAAACACCGAAAATGGGACTATTTTTTATCAAAATCAAAGGATAACACATAGTTAATTGGTACCATTTTTAAACGGGCGTTGTGGGGGTGCTAATCCTTCCTCACACATAACCAACTCGTGAACTTAGACTGTTACGTAGACCCTAAAATTATTCTTTTAATAAATTTTAATTAATTTTAAGATTTCATTAAAAGGATATGTTTTAATAGGTGGCTAATCACACCTAGCAAAAAAAAAGATTGGTGGTGACTCCGTTATTTTTTTATTTCATTTTCAAATTCATCGGGCAGATACAAAACCTTTACGACAGCGTGGTGACTCCACTGGGGACGCCTTTTGTTTTCGAGAGTCAGCCCAAAATTAACTACGCGTTATCCTTAAATTTTGATTTAAATAGTCTTAATCGGCTTTTTAGATTTTTATTTTTCACTTTAAAAAAAAAAGCAAAAAGAAATCAAAAGGAAAAAGAAAAAAATTCACACATGTTTCTTTTATTATTCCTCTTATGCTTTATTTTTCTTTTTGTATATATTACTCTCAATAAATTTGGATATATTTGCACACACAATAACATGATGCATCTCATGCATGAGCTCTATACCTGAGCTCTATCCTTTATGAGAGAAAGTAAAGTACCTATGCCCTCGTGAGGTGGTAACATCTGTAATGGCAAGTGAAATACTTTCACTCAAATTAAACCCTTTCTGTTTGTAGCCTGTAATGGGTAAGGATCGAGGTGCCTCACTAGTCCAGCATGGATAATAGTGAGGAACAATTTGGAAACCTTTAGACAGGTGTCAATCCAAACCCAACATGTAATAAGCCTAGGAAACCAGCCTTAGGTAGAGCCTCATCCACCTTTTTGTAAGAAGTACCTAAGAATAAAAGCTGTGTAATACAAAACAAAAAAATCTCAAAACTCAAAACAAATGTTTTTCTCAAACCGCATCCTCACACTAACTCAATTTTGTTTCATTTTTTTTCTTTTTTGCATTAATCATATCATATAATTCTACATCAAAATATTTGTTCTAGGATATATTTCTCTCAAGAAGTTTTCATAAATCCCATAGAACTACAGATTTGCTTATCCTTAGTCAGTGTCCCATATGAGTCATATAATGAAGTACATGTCTGGTCAAAAGAAGCCTAACAAAAGAGTGGAGATTGTTTGCCTATCGATTATGTTTCTGAGTTACCTGAGAAAGTGCATTTAGATCTCACACAGAATGATTTAGAAGACTTAGCCACCATCCGAGGTCAGTTAAATGAAAAAAGAAAAGAAAGCTTTTACAAGAAGTACAGGCAAATTGCATCCCTCATTTCGGTAGTGATTGATGAACAGTTGATCAAGACAGCTATACAATTTTGGGATCCATCTTATAGATGTTTTACTTTTAATCAAGAGGATTTAGTGTCAACTATTAAGGAGTATTCGATTTTGCTTGGGATAGAACTACAGTGTCCAGATAAAGTATTTACCCGAAAGCTGAAATCAAGTTATCGTAAAAAGTTGGCCAAGCTTATAAGGTTTAAAGTAGAAACCATTGATTCCTTTGCGAAGCCTAAAGGTGAACATCTCAACATCCATTGGGACTTTGTTTGAAACTTCATTCAGGGACATTTTAATAATGATCAAGTTATGGCAGTGTTTGCCTTAGCATTGTATGGCATGGTAATCTTTTCGAAGACTTTGGGTCACATTGAGATAACTGTGGTAGATTTTTTAAGCAAATTGAAACCCAAGAAATTAATCCCATTCTAGCAGTCCTAGCTAAAACCCTCAAGTCATTGAATTTTTGTTGACAGAATGGAAAAGGATGATTCATAGGATGTGCATCGCTATTATATGTGTAGGTTAGAAGTCATTTCAAGTATGAAAATAGTGCTTTCTCGAAGCTGTATCTTCGAAATAAGACACCAATTAAAGAGTTCTGCAAAAGTCGATGGCCAACATTGAAGACTAAGAAAGAGTGGGTCTTTTTCTTACGAAAGCTTACCGAGGATGAAATTGAATGGATGGCACCTTGGATGCCTCGAGTGCCCTTATTGTAGCATGGAGAAAATGAGCTTTGGATACCATTGTTAGGGCTATGGGGCATTGTAAGTTATGTTCCATTAATGGTGCTTTGGCAATTTGAGGCAATGTAGTTTGTTCCTACCACTCATGGCCTAGTCTAAGTAGAATTTATTTATGGGGAATCAAATCCATCAAGAACCTCAGAGCAGTTGATCCAAGCATGGAAGAAAAACACAAAGAATGAGGTTAGAGCCTTTCAGCGACAAAGTCACCCCTGATTATTAAATTTGGAAGGTAAAATGGCTTAGAGACGTAATAATCCCTCCTGATGATAGCTCATACCAATTGGTTAATCTTTCGAAAGAGGTGCAATTATCAGAAGTTGAGCTTATCAAGAAAGAATTAAAAGCTAAAAAAAGAAAACTAAGAAGAGAAAATTTGAAACTTCGTGAGAAAGTAGGACAATTAAAATATGAAGTAGAGATACAAGGGAGCAGATTAGAAAAAGTCATAAAAGAACGGGATGTGGCCAATAGTGATTTGAAATATCTACACCAGGAAAACAAG